AGGATGTTTTAAAGCAGAGAAAGTCATAAAAACTGATTCCTGTGAGATTATTAGTCATCTGTTGTTTGTTTTTGCTATCATTATGATGAGTTTTGGTAACACTGAAGGGTCACTTTATCAATGTTATGTAGTGCATTATTAAGCATTAATAAACTATGAAATAAAACAGCTGCGTCATATAAATGTTACTGCGTTAACATTAGAGGTGGGGAAAATGATCGATTCTAAGATGCATCACGATTCAGCCGTGCATGATTCCGAATCGATGCGGCAACGTGACATCATGAGATTTTCTCCCTATGTCTATGTTTATGTCTATGTTTATGTCTATGTCTATGTCTATGTTCTGGACGTGCGAGGACAATAAAGTTTTGAGGTTTTATAATTACTTCTGGGGGCAGAGTTGCGATGACATGCGCACTGCGTTGTCCTAGCTCCAATTTAAAACAGAAAAGGCGGACAGGGATACAGGGCCAACATCATCAGTAATCAAAGATGTACCCGTTACACTTAAATCGGATGTCTGGGCTAATTTCGGTTTTGGGATCCTGGATGTGAAAGAATCACTTAACACAGTATTTGTTTGCTATTTTTAAGTTCAGTAATATTCTATCTTAAAGCTGCTCTACCGAAAACATGATTTCTTATATTATTTAAGTAATTATAGGCAGCACACTTTAAACATTATTGCTCACTATAGTGAATGGATGAATTTTCTGTTTTTCAGGGATATTGAAATCAAAAAGAAATTGAAACTATTCTGCTTTTATTAAGTAATGAAAATGTTTGTGTGAAGAATCGTGATGCATGTCAGACTCAAATCCAATCGTTAGGCAGATATCGGAATCGGATCGAATCGTGAGGCAGGTAGAGAAGCACACCACTAGTTAACACATCCCCACCCCTGGCCCTTTGCCCTAACCTTAAGGACACTTAATAGTAAACAATATCAGGAACGTTAATAAAGGGATGTGAGTTTTAACGAGTTCATTCACATCTTGGATTTATTAATTCCTGTTTTCTATCTGTGTCTCGTTCAGATCCTGGGTGCTCATCTCTTCCCCTGGTTCGGTTTTAGATGAGGTTCACCTCCTCCTGCCTCTCAGCCCGTGTTTGCTGAGTCATGACATCTTGAGCCAGCCTGTGGAACCTGAATGCATTTGATGGGTGGGGGGTTTCCTGCCCAGGGCTGTTGGTATTCCCGGCATTCCACTAGTTTCTATTCCAGCTGGTTCTTGATGGAATTTCAGGGTTTTCTTTAAGAGGGCTGGGACTTTGCAGCATCTGGCTCAGTGTTTCACTTCCTACTCACTGTTGAGTCATCACTGCTGCTGTCTGCCGAGGAACGGTTACAACATACAGACGGTGCAGCGTTTTGTCAGGAAGGTGGTGTGTGAGTGTGTGTTTAATGTTGGAAACCTGCTGAACCGCATCTGGAGACTCAGGAACTATGAGCTACTTTTCCATCCTGGATGAGAAGGACCTAAAGACCACTTCACCAGGAGCATGTAAGTCCCGTAGCAGAGGAAGATGTTCCCATGACAGGAATGTTGAGTATTTCCAGAGTGGGTTTAGGAATGACAGCATGTGGTTAAATAACTCCTGAATTCTGAAACGTCTGAAGACAACCAGTGAAGGTCTCCTCTCAGATGAGAACTTTTGTTTGATGAGAGAAATTAAACAAATGTGAGATGAACAAGTGATGCTTCACAATACATGAAGACTTGGGTTGTCTTTAGTGTTGGGAACACACGTCCTCCGAGGTCCCTCCGACTGCATGGACCGGTCTGGTGAAATGCCGGTGGACTGTGGAGGAGCATTACTTGGTTCCTTGGGGATCATTTGTTTTCTGTCCTCGCAGGCTGAGCTTCAGACGTTCCTACATCTTCTTGTATAACTTGTTCCAGTTCTGTGGCCACACATGGATCCTGGCCAACACCATCGCACGGTTCCTCACCTTTGGTCAAGGTAAAAAGAGCGTTCTCTCTGTCTCTCAGAATCAGATTTATTTATTGCCATGTAGGTGAGAGGCTCATCTACTAGGAATTTGTTTAGGTGGCAAGGTGCAAATATGCATTCAAGGCAAAGTCAGGTCAGGCAGCGTTTACATTAAGGCCCTGTCCACACGTAGCCGGGGATCTGCCAAAACGTAGGTATTTTTCTACGTTTTGGCCTGTCATCCACACGAAAACGGAGTTTTTTCACACGAAAACGGATCTTTTTAAAAACTCCGGCCAAAGTGAAGATCTGCGTTTTCTCCGTTTTGGGTGTCTGCGTGTGGACAGACAAAACCGGAGTTTTAAGGTCCGCAACGTTACTTTCCGCGACAAAAAAATGCTGACATCACGTGTGCGACCTGTGTTTACACTAGCCGACAGCATGGATGCCCTCAGAGCTGCGCTCGCTTTATCAATTGTCCAAGCGCTTTTTGCTTGTTTGTTTTTGCAAGCGGAATTACTGCTCCTTGTGGACATGGACGTAATTTTCACTTTAGAAGTGGGGGGGACACGGGGGGGGGGGGGGGGGATCTTTACACTATGCTCTAATGGGAAACAGGCTTCAAGCCAAACAGTTGTTTTCCGCTTGGTCCTAGAGCCCAACCAGTGTCAATTTAATATAGAGTAATATAGTTTTTGGATGGTAAAAAGTGCAGGGGTCAAAACTTGACTTTGGAAAAAGTGGTGGGGGGGGGGGACATGTCCCCCCTGTCCCCCCCCAAAATTACGTCCATGCTTGTGGAAGACCACAGACGAAGGACGAGGTTAAGAACGGGGGAAGTACTGCCGCCTACAGGTCTGGCATGTCCTTAACAATGTATTTATCCGGGTACGTGTGGACAGAGTTTTTTTTTAAACGAGGTGGTTTGGATGCAAGTTTTTGGAGGGGCGGATATTCGTTTAAAAAAAAAACCGGCTACGTGTGGACTAGAACTTAGATACATCAAATAATTAAGCGATTGATAAGATTTTTTCAACAATGAGAACGGAGCAGGGGGCTCCCACATGTCCACAGGGGACACACCCGGTGGGATATATGCTGGATTCCTGGAGGGAGTGGAAGATCATATGCCTCAGCCAGCTGTCCATTGAGGATGTCGAAGACATGTGGATATTTGGTCTGATGATCACTGGATTTCTCCTGATTGGAGTGGGAGGATATCTGGTTTTCTGGAAATTTGGGAAGACGGGAGCGATTGGAGGGCGACCCGCACCCACGGAGAGCACCGTCCGTATGGAGACTTCTCAGACTGGGACGGTCGGGTCATGGGGCACCAGGGGGGCGTCCAGGAGGCATCCTGACTAGATGCCCGAGCCACCTCAACTGGCTCCTCTCAATGAGGAGAGCAGCGGGTCTACTCCGAGCCCCTCCCAGATGACGCTTCTCACCCTGTCTCCAAGGGAGAGCCCAGACACTCAGAGGAGAAAACTAATTTTTGCTGCTTTTGTCCGCGATCTCGTTCTTTCGGTCACTACCCAAAGCTCATGACCACAGGTGAAGGTAGGAACGTAGATCAACCGGTAAATCGTGAGTAAACCAAAAAAGGACAATACTAGAAACTAAAAAGTAAAGTGAACGGGGAGGAGATAAATACGGATAAGAGAATCAAGATGCACAAAAAAAACCCCAGACCAAAACAATGATATAAACTAAGCCGACCATAAAGAACAGGAACACAGGGAAATGAACCAAACAAATGAGAACTAAAGAACCAAAATAAAACTAAAGTAGGGAACCAAAGAGGAAACAGGAGAGAAATGAAGACGGAATGGAAACTGGACACTGTAGTTCTGATTTGTGGCTAAGAAAATATCTGTTTATGACGTTTAACTTAACTTGTATGGGTGTATACATGGGTGTATTGTGTGTACGGGAGTTGGGGTGGGGGGTATGTTATGACTGTGCTGATGCTTTTAATTGGTGTTGGAGGGACAGCAATAGGAGTTATGTAGGGTCATTTTAATCTGTAAAGCAGTTTGTAGGAAAAGCGCTTTATAAAGTTTAACTGATTGATTGATACAGGTCTTCTGTAACGTCTCGTTCAGCCTTCCAAGCTTATGCCCCATCCTGCAGATGCTGCTGTTCCCGAGGGTCAGCCACCGTGGCCAAATCCTAAACTCTATTTTATCCCATAGAGGAAGTAATTGTGCATACCCATCCATCAATCAATTCCCTGTACCCGCTTATCCACGCAGTGTCGCGGGGGGCTGGTGCACAGGAGTTAAGTGCTCGCCCCGTAATCGGAAGGTTGCAGGTTCGAGCCCCGCTCAGTTTGTCGCTGTCGTTGTGTCCTTGGGCAAGACACTTAACCCACCTTGCCTGCTGGTGGTGGTCGGAGGGACCGGTGGCGCCAGTGCTCGGCAGCCTCGCCTCTGTCAGTGCGCCCCAGGGCAGCTGTGGCTACATCGTAGCTCATCCCCACCAGTGTGTGAATGTGTGTGTGAATGGGTGAATGACTGTGTTGTAAAGCGCCTTGAGGGGTTCCAGGACTCTAGAAGGCGCTATATCAAATACAGACCATTCACCATTTCTCTCCAGCAGTCTCCGGGCAGGCAGGTGGGGTACTGGACAGATTACAGGGCAACACAGAGACAGGACAAACAACCAGGCATGCACACACTCACAGTGAGACCAGCCAACCTGACTTGTTCTTGGACTGTGGAAGAAAGCCGGCGTACCCGGAGAGAACCCACGCATGCACAGGTAGAACATGCAAGCTCCTCGCAGAAAGACCCCAGGCTGGGATGCAAACCATGGACCTCCATTCTTCGAGGCAACAGTGCTAACCACTGCTCCACTGCACAACCTCATAATTGTGTACATGTCATGTAAAATGAAACCACTCTTTGCAGATGCTTTAGCAGATACATTCTACTCCGTGGGCTTCATGATGAGTCTCTGCCAGCTGCTTTCCATCCTGGAGCTTTTCCATATAGCAGATGGGATCGAGAAGGCCAGACTTCTTCCTCGCTTCATCCAAGTGTGTTCCTCAGTTCACCTCTAAAGCTTCATCCTCTTCAGCCACACTAACTTATTGCATGATCCATTAGCTAATGATAATAATTAGTTTGTGACGGTTCTCCTCCTTTAGGTGATGGAGAAAAATGGTTTGTTGATGGTCATCATTCTGTTGGAGGAGATCCAAAGTAAACCCGTGGTGTGTGTGCAGTTTTTCTTCTGGAACATACTGGACCTTTTACGGTAGGAAACAAACCCACGGAGCAGTTCTGGCCAGGTTAGGTCTTTGTTGGCGAAGGTTTGTCGCGGTACCATTTTAAAGCATCACTCCTGACCTCTGAAGGTGACTTTTACAGACGTTTGGGAGAATGAAGCCATTGGTCATCCCACACTGGTGAAACTCCCCATTTGCCCCATCCCCATTGGGATCGGTGAGCTGCAGCTGTGGCCGCGTTTGGGAACTATTTGGTGGTTTAGGCTTTTTCCTAAAAACAGTTGCAGCTTTAAATAAAAAGCTGCACCTCAGTGGAGTACATGACTACATCTGTAGCCAGAGTAGCACCCTCTCCACATGGTTCCTACTGCAGGATGCCAGATAGAGGAAGTGGCTTCATGTAAACTAGCCTCTGTGAGGCCAGAACCAGGAGGTCTCTACGCGTTTCCTAACATTGTTTTTATTGACAGGTACCCCCATGAGCTCCTGTGTGTTACGGACACACCCTCCACCAGCATGTTATGGATTCGATACTCTGTTTGGATCGCCGTGTACATCCTGTCAGTGGCTAACGAAGGTGAGTAGGCGGATGATGAACTCACAACAGGCCGATGTTGAGTAAGAGAAGGGCTGTGAGCATGAGAGGAGTTGGCAAACAACTGAAGGTCAGGAAGTGTGTGTGAGCAAACCTGCTGATTTCTACAGACTCTAATGGCTACGTGTAAATGTGTGTCCACATCTCCCCTCCAGGTGTTACCGTCTACCAGACACTGGTCTACCTGGGCCAAACAGCCTCCCACTCAGCATCCACTCACCTCCCCATCCTGCTGAGGCTTTATTTGCCTCTTCTAGCTCTTGGTGAGAAGAAACCTTCTGACAGATCAGCTTTTCTCACACTGCTGTAATAACTCTTACACTTTAGATGTTTGAGTCTTGCTTCTGATTTTATTTAAAGGGATTTTTGAATTTTTATGCTCGCCATCGCCCCCTCAGGCCAAAAGCGTAACTGCAGCTTCAATAGTAGGCCCGTGCACGAGGTGCGCATGCTGTACGTGCACACCCCTTGATGAAACAGCTGAGACAGTCCTGTGTGTGTGTGTGTGTGGCCCGGAGGACAGAGGACAGGAGAACACGCAGCTAATTAATTAAATAATGTGGTTCTGTACCTTTCTCTTCAGCACAGCCGACAAAGGTTTATGATGGGTCAGTCGTCCTGCATGCTCAGATCATTCCCTTCCCTTGCTTGAAAAATTGTTCCAAAATGAAAGTTGAACCCACATCTTTTTTATCTGTGAATTCAATGCCGTTCGGCGAGTCTCAAATAGGAATTTGGGCATCTTACTGTAAAAAAATATACCATTAATGTAAAAAAGGAACTCTAAATAAACTATGTTCACATCCAGAATAGAACCCGGGTCTTCTCGCGTGAGTCAGACATCTTACTAGGTGAGCTAAAGCACCAGTGATGTCCTTTGTATCTGTAACATTTATATCCGTGATGACAGCTGAAACAACGTCCAAAGAACGGTTCGGAGCGAAAATGGCTATTTTGTTGCTAATTAGCAGGAAATATCTAGAAGAAAGTTCTACAGAAAGTAGCTAAGGGTCCTCAGAAATGTAGCTAGCTTTGTCACTAGGCGTTAGGAACAGCGACAAAGTGGCACTGCCTCTCTCTCTGCTGCTAAAGCTACGGATAGCAAATGCTACGGGCGATGCCTGAGCGTGAACGCGCATGAAGCAGCCTGCTCGACCCGAGCATCTCTCTTTTTCTGTGATTTTACAGAAAAACAGGCAATCACAGTAAAAATGCCAGGGCTCATTCTACAGGACCAGGGCATTGCAGGAGAATGTATGAAGAAGACATTTATTATTTCTATACATGTTTTGGCTGTCAAGACTTCCACATAGTCCCTTTAACCAAATTATTCCAGCAGACACCAGCTGAGAGGCAGGGGACCGTCTCTACATGTGTGCAGTCCATCACAGAGACAAACACCCAGTCACTAACACACACACACACACACACACACACACACACACACACACACACACACACACACACACACACACACACACACACACACACACACACACACACACACACACACCTAGGGACACGCTAGTCTCCAGTTGTTTTGGGTCTGTGGAGGGAAACAGGGGTATCTGGAAAAAACTATCGCATGCTGACATCACCGAGGAAGAGAGCTGAACCTGTGACCTTGTTGCTGTAAAATTAATATATATTGACACAAATTCAGCAACCTTCACATATTCAGATCAGCAGAACTCAACGTGGTTTTGTTTTTATTAAGTTTGTGCAACTCTGCTCTCTGTCTAGGAGCCACTGTAACAGTCTGGCAGCTGCTGAAGGAGAGACAACAACATCTGGAGAAATGGAGCAAAAGCAAGAGGAAATGATCATCTCAGCTCAAGTCTTCTAGGGAAATCCTGCCAGGACAATCCAGAGTGTGTCATGAGTCAGGCTGGATGTTCTCAGCAAGAGTGATCCATAAAACATTTCAGACAATATTAGAGGTAAATAAAAAGGTAGCAAAACAAAGCAGTCAAGTTGCTCCTGGAGCCGGGTCTCCCACGTAGGAATTGTGATACTGTGGGAGGGGCGTTGCCACGGTGATGTCATGATGTCACCAGCCATAAACTCTGGTCCAGACAGCTTTCTTCTTGAACTCAGCAGAAGACTTCAGACTCATCAGAGCAGCTGGAACAACAGGAGTCAGAAACCAGTAAACACCTGCACGACCGTCTTATTTTACTTTGACTTTTTATTATTTTCTATGAAATCTCAAACTAATACTCACAGTACTTCCTGAAGTACAAAACTAACCTGGTATTTCATTAAAAAAACTTAAAGGGACTTTTCGGACTTTTGAATTTTTATGCTCGCGATTGCCCCCCTCAGGCCAAAAGCGTAACGGCAGCTTCAATAGTAGGCTCGTGCACAATTGTGTTGTATCAGTAACATTTATATCCTTGATGACAGCTGACACAACGTCAAACCAAAGAACGGTTCGGAGTGAAAATGGCTATTTTGTTGCTAATTAGCAGGAAAAATCTAGAAGAAAGTTCTACAGAAAGTAGCTAAGGGTCCTCAGAAATGTAGCTAGCTTTGTCACTAGGCGTTAGGAACAGCGACAAAGTGGCACTGCCTCTCTCTCTGCTGCTAAAGCTACGGATAGCAAATGCTACGGGCGATGCCTGAGCGTGAACGCGCATGAAGCAGCCTGCTCGACCCGAGCATCTCTCTTTTTCTGAAATTTTACAGAAAAACAGGCAATCACAGTAAAAATGCCAGGGCTCATTCTACAGGACCAGGGCATTGCAGGAGAACGTATGAAGAAGACATTTATTATTTCTATACATGTTTTGGCCGTCAAACTTCTATAATGTCCCTTTAAAACACATTTAAAACCAAAAGGTAGCAGAATTCACTTTCCAAGAGAAGTTATTACATGAGTAATGAGCTGTTCTGTGATTGGACAACACGAATACTACAGCAGCAGATCACCTGGCCTCATTTATAAAGCTGCTTACGTGTAAAACGGGGTCTGAAAACTGCGTAGGTGGCCGCACCCGAACGTTTGTCCTGGCGTAAGAACACTTTGGAGCTAGTGAAATGTTTCATTTAAGCACATTTTCAGAAGGTTAAACAGTTGTGCATGCACGTGCGCGCACACACACACACACACACACACACACACACACACACACACACACACACAACCATGGACATTTGTTTGCTGGTAGGGCTTTAATAAGGATTCTACATAAGTTTATAAATGAGGCCCTGAGCTTTAATAACCCTCTTGTGGAGAACATCTCCATAACCTCACTGAAACCAACACTAAACCAGACCTTTATGCTGTCACCACTTGTTGTTATTTAAAAACATTTGACCACAAATAAAAAGTAAAACAAACCAAAGATTTTTACATAGCTTTTACGCCTTAAAGCTGGGCTCCGTGGTGTGACATCATCAACGAGAGGAGGAGGAGATTGTGAAGTATGGCTATAGTTCTGCACCCCTCCCCTTCCGAATGAAGATGAAAGCCACGCCCCATGCTACGCAAACACAGCTAATATCCCCGTAGAGCTAACGGACAGGAACTATATTAACATGTTCCAGCTGAATCATCTCCTCGGCCTCCATCTGCTTCCACAGGAGCGGCCTATTACTCATTTGAATAAAATCTGCAGCGTTCGAGCAGGGAAACGTATAAAACCAGCAAGAACCTGTGATGTTAGCACCCCCACCCCCGCTAAAATGTAAACAGTCTGATGTAGCACCAAGTTAAACGTTACACTAATCTCTTTGCTCCAGAACACAAAAGCTGAATCCCTGTTCATTCTCCCGCCTCATCCATGGTTAGCTTGAAGTTGAACTGACATTGATTCAATGCGGGTCGAGTTAGCATTCAGGCTAGCTTGGTGTGCTAAGCTGGCTGTATGTCAGCCCGCAGTGCATGCTGGGAACTGGGGCACACTCTACTGGTCAACGCACTAGGCTCACGTAATTGATTCGTTCTGCTGTAAAAGCCGGGGGGGAGGAGCAGGGCGATACATAAATGATGAAAAACAACTTTATTTATATAACAGAACAGGGTCAGACTGAAGCATTTTATAAGTTGCTTTAAAACGTCTAAACTACGTACCCCAGCTTTAATGTGGATGTGAAAAAATACTTCTTAAAGTGACAGTGTGCATTTTTCCTGGCGATAGAGGTCAGTAGATACCTAAATCCATGCAAGCACGCTGTACTTATGTGTTGGTGTAAGACCTTACCAACGGATGCCCATTAGGGTCAAAAAGCCC